CGCTTCCTCCCTGCCATGCCAGCTTAGTATAAGGCCTAGAAGGAACCTAGGACTACAAAAAGGGAATAAGTGTACTACTGGGCATCCTAGTCTTCGAATAAGGTCCCGGCAAGGAACAATAGTTTAATATAGGGGCCTTAATAATTTAAGGCTTATGGGTTAAGGGGGATTAATAGTTTGCCTAAGCCCTCAACACTAAACCCCTAAACCCTAAACTCCTAAACGCTAAACCCTCAAGCCACGGTTTAGGGTTTAGTGACTGGCTCCCTGTTCGGCACTGGTTAGTATCCAGAAGGAACCTACGGCCACCAAAAGGGAAGCAGCGCCTGAACGAGGCGCCTTCATGAATAGGGTTTTGGGGCCCATTCTACTATAAGTATAATAAGAACCACCCCCAGACTGGTATTGGTAATTTCCCCTATATTATCCAGAAGGAGCCTAAAACCACAAAAAAGGAAACAGAGCCACTCTAGTTTAGGATTTCATCAAGTCAGGCCTCTGAACCCTAAATCCCAAACCCTAAGCCAAAAGCCTAAACCCTGAACCAAAACCAAAAGCCTAAACCAAAACCAAAAGCCTACACAAGAATCTAAACCCCTAAACCAAAACCTAGAACCTAACCCAAAACCAAAAGCCTAAACCAAAATCCTAAACCCTAAACCAAAACCTAGAACCCAAGCCAAAACCCTAAACCCTAAACCAAAACCTAGAACCTAAACCAAAACCCTAAACCAAAATATTAAAACCTAAACCAACATCCTGAACCCTAAACCGAAACCTAGAACCTAAACCAAAAACCAAAGTCCTAAACCGTAAACCCTAAACCAAAACCCGAAACTAAACCAAAACCCAAAAGGACTGCAACCGTTCCTGCGGGATGTGGGAAGCTCAGGGGCTCAGAAACCTCGAGGGTGCCTTTAAAGGGGCCTAGGTCGGAGGGTTAGGGTTTAGGGTTTGGGGTTGAGGGTTTAAGGTTGGGGTTTAGGGTTTGGGGTTGAGGGTTTAAGGTTGGGGTTTAGGGTTTGGGGTTGAGGGTTTAAGGTTGGGGTTTAGGGTTTGGGGTTTAGGGTTTAAGGTTCAACATTTTGGGGTCAAGAAGTGGCTTCGTCTTCGGAAGGGCTTGTCGAGTTCTTCGGCCTGAACAATACCGAGTCAAGTTAGGTGTCCTACTTGTCGGGTATCATGCGGATCTAAAGGTTAACCTTTTTGGTTATATAGGGACTATGCTACCCAAAAAAGGTTAAAGGTTGCTTACTCTACTACTAGGGTGTAAGAGAATTACTCTCTGGAGCCCCTGTAACCCCCAAAACTAGGGCGGGGTTTCGGGTGTGGTGCACGACGTGCTTCTTTCGCCTTTTCGCCGCTGGGTTAGAAGTCTTTCCACAAGCGATTGTTAAGGCTAAAGAATACTAGCATTCTTCGAGCGCGGTCGCTAGACTTTCCATCCTTCCCTGTCTGATAGGGTTTACAGATCTTGGGCTCAGGTGCTGGGAGGGCGGTGCTAAGCTAAATCCCTAAACCCTAATCCCTCTACACCCTAAATCCTATACACCCCAAACCTATACACCCCAAAGCCTAAAAGCCCCTAAAAAACCCTTAAGGCCTTCAGCCCTTAAGCACTAAACCTGGCTACTTCAGTCACATCCCTCACTTTGGAGAGGCTGTCTTTCTTCCCGAAACAAGGGCCCGGTTTTTGCGGAGATCGGGGCAGTGTGGATGGGACAGAGTTCTGGGTTATGTATTGGTGCCTAGGGTGTGGGAGTTGGTTTAGGCTTTAGGGTCAGCTGCCGGTCTAGGTGTCATGGGCAGCAAGGGTTTGCTGAACCACTATTGAAGATAGATGAAACATCCTGCATCAGTGGCTAGGCCCCGAAAACCGTGGTTATGGTACCCTAACCCCTACTAATTCCCAACAAAACCGTACTGCTCCCTACTGAACCCCCAGTCTAGAAACCATTCTATCACAGGCAAACCCACCGAATCACTCCTTCCGCTGCCTACCTTCAACTTGGATAAGCTATCTAAATTTATTATGGCTAGTGTTCATTGATCATAAGACGGGTTTGGGTGTTTTCTTGGTTTGGTATATAGGGCCAACCAGTTCTTGGGGTTTAATTCTTTCTCTGGTGTTGAGGGGTGTTTGGAGTTTAGATGTTGCTCTTTGTTGCCTTGGTGTCTAGGCTTCAGGGCTTCGCGTGCAATCCCGAAACCCTAAACCCTGAATCCTAAACATCAACCCCTAAACCTCAAATCCCAAACCTCAAACCCGGAACCCTAAACTCAAAACCCTTAAGCCCTAAACCCGAAACCCCTAACCCGAAATCCTAAATCCTGTTTCGATCAATTCGGTTCAACTCGGGCCCTTGGATTTCGAAGCGCCTCAATCTGCAGAGACCCAGCCAGAGCACACAACACAGAGGGATCCGAATCCTTGCCTGTAGTAGGGGTTTAGGAGTTTAGGGTTTAGGGATTTAGGGATTTAGGGTTTTACGGGTTTAGAGGTTTAGGGGTGTAGGGGTTAGCGGTTTAGGGCTTATAGGGTTTAGGGGTTTAGGGTTTTGCTTTAAGACGGGTGTGTAGGGTTCTAGAGGGCTTTCTTACGGCTGTTGTAGGTGGTGGTTTGAATATCGGAATTAGGGGGCCCCGTCAATGTACTTGTTTATGGGGAAAGCATGGCAGTAGCTAACCGAAGACAAAGATCTTTACAACGCCTCCAAAAGAACTAGATTAAGGCATCCAGGTATCATGAAACTCTCAACCCCAGTTCGTAAAGCTAAACTAAACCTTGTAGTGTCTTGAGCCCGTAAAGATACCCTACAACAGAACCTTCACAATGCACACAAAACCCTACACAACACGAACAGGCCCTATACAATCTTCTTGAACCCGGAGGTCAACCCTCCTACAGTCCTAGACCTGCAGCTTTGGTTCAGGACTTCATTGTTCAGTTGCACTTTGACTTCGCCAGGGAGGAAAAAGTATAGACCCTAAGCTACCACCCTTAACCCTAAACCCTAAACCCTAAACCCTATACCCTAAACCCTATACCCTAAACCCTATAACCTGTACCCTAAACCCTATACCCTATACCCTAAACCCTTAACCCTAAACCCTATACCCTCAATGGGGATCCTCTGCTTCAGCGCCTTTCTAAGGGCCCCTCACCTGAGATGCACTCAGATCTGCTCCATCTCAGGGATCCTTTCCCTGGCATCGCTTTAGGGCTTGGATATGGGGATTCGGGGTTACAGGCGCTTTGGGGCTTATAGGGTTTAGGGGGGTTTCGAAGGGTTTAGGGGGATAGGGTTTGGATGAGGGGATTAGGGGTTGCAGGCGGTTTGGGGTTTAGGGTTTAGGTTGTAGGGTTTAGGGTATAGGTTGTAGGGTTGTGGGGTTTAGGGTTTAGGGGGATAGGGTTTGGCTAAGGAGATGAGGGGTTACAGGGGGTTTAGGGTTTGAGGTCTAGGCTTTTGGGGCTGTTTAGGGTTCAGGGGGACAGGGTTTAGGGTTTAGGGGGTCTGGGTTTCAGGTTTAGGGTTGAGGGGTTTTGGGTTTACGGTTTAGGCTTCAGCGGGCTTGGGTTCAGGGCTAAGGGTTTAGGGGGTTTGGGTTCAGGGTTTAGTGTAAGGGCCGGACTTATGATACAGTACGGCTTTGGGGTATACCTTGTTACTGATTGTTCCGACCCATACAGTAAGCTTTACCAGCTCCCATGACCCCCTGCTCGCAGAATCCCGATACGTTCCGATCCTCTCTTGCGACTGTACAACAACCCACATTCTGTACGGCACCTACACACGTCCAAATTCAGACTTTCATTTCGAGGACTGGACAAAAGCACCTAAACATCTAAGTACTGGTTTGGGCTTAAGGCTTTAGGGGCTTAGGGTTTCGAGACAGGCACGTTGCTTGACAGGAGGCTCGAACAAGAAAAAGTGCTGTAACCGTGAAACCCTCGACAACGCACCTGATCAATGGCTATATCATCAGGAAGAAGGTAACCTGAAGAGGTAAGCGTGAGTATTTAAGTCACCTAAAGCACATCCCCCCAAAAACAAAACGCAACCCCTAACCCCTCAACGGTTGTGGGGTTTGGGGTCTGGGCCAAGGCTTCGGTGCTTCTAGGGCCTACGACAGATTTTATGCCTTAGGGATGAAGGTTTAGATCACCCTATGGGTCCATCAGACTCAATATGAAGGTACTTGAGTTGGGGATGGTCAAGGATAGTTGGTACGTAGGTGGGTATTCGAGGGAATACATTTCTACAGGTACAGAAAAAATGTAGGATTGAGTCTTTCTGTTCAGGTTTAGGGTTTAGGTTTGCGGTCAAGCTTCTGGATTATGTCTGAATCCTTGTGCTTGACATAACATAGAGGACTTATTCAACTAAGGCTTCGGGGTACATTGTAGCATACTTATAGCAAGGAGCCCCCAACACGCTATTGGCAATTATCTAGGTGCCACATTACCCTAAACCCTCCTTGCTATCGGCCCAGGTTTCAAAAGTTCAGGGCTAAGTGCCCATACTAACAAGTAAACTGCTACAATAAGCTGAGCGAGGACCCGCATTTGAGGTATCAGGTACATTCCGGAGCCTGAAATTTCGACTCAGAGGCCCTGCTGGGTAGGGAAAGAACTCTTAAACAAATGGGAATCTCCGAAAATGGGGGGGCCCTAATACAGTACCTGAAATAACAGGATCCCTATCATAAGGAGCCCAAAATAAGGTTCCCTCGTTTTCGGAAATTCCCAAATGGCAATGCCGGGAAGGAATCACGACAGAGGTGTGCCTATAAGAGAGGGTAGGTCACCAGACTAATTATGCGTTTATATACACAAAAGGGCCTAAACGTGTATCTTATAAATCGCATGGCTGACAGTCAGCAAGATTAACAGGTTTTCGGGTTGATGAGAAGCTTTGTGATTGTTGCGTCCGACGCAAAAGAACAGTCATTCTAAAATGCCCATAAACCATACACGGCACATCTGGGCCTGGCGATCACTTTGCCTCGCCCCCGGTCCTGCCGGGAACAGGTGCTTTCGGCTGGCAGGGTCCGGCTTGATTGCACGCACCGTTTCGGAATAACAATACCATCTACTACCTATTCCGACCCCTCTATTCACGCTCGAGCTCCTTAACCCTGAAACCAAATCTACCCATAGGCCCCAAAGTAGTTCCTTTTTGGGATTACCTAATAGAATTCTATATATGAGCCCCAAAAAGGAACTACTTTGGGGCCGATGGGTAAGCACGAGCTCCTTCCTGAAACACATCGAATCCCTGAGCCGAAGGTGCGCAGGGGCTCCTGTAGGTGCCGGACGCGTACTTCGGCATGTTCGAGTCTTTGGGCTGAAAGACCTTTTGGAGACTCTTCAGGTTAATGTATGTGGAGTCATAATTACACCGGTATCAGATGGGTGCCAGAAGGGTAATATCATCAGAATACTGTAAGGATAGCCTGAATAGCTAGTTCGACTAGGGTATACATCCGTAAGGAACACTGAAACCCGGTACAAATTCACAATACGAAGAGAGTCGGACAATGATCTGGCCTGCTTGTGGAAAACGTCTTTCCACGACCCAACTTCTGGCAAGAACTTGACAGCTGCCCCTGTTTTCAATCTTTCTTCTGGCTCAAAGATGGGTCGAACGACAGGCTCCTCAGGCGCTGTCTCTGCCTGCTGGACCTTCTCAGAGACTCCAATATCCCTTAATTAAAGAATGCTCCTTAAATCATATAAGGGATCCTACCATAATTTAAAGTATATTCCTTAATTAAGGGCTATTGGAGTCTCTGGGTTCTCGTGCTGATCACTGGAGACTCCAGGTCTACCCGCGGGCACAGGGTCTTCAACCTTTCGAGGAGCATCGGCAGGGGAGTGCTGCCGTGATCGCCCGTCACCATCCTCTTGATACTGCTGATGGACGAAATCCTGCATGACCCTAAGGACTCTAAACTATGGGAACTATGGTATATTCTATATAAACTTATAAACAGTAATGCAGGATTTTGTCCATCAGCAGTAGCATCACGAAGAAGCTTCTTCTGGGCCTTGAGGTCTGTTGTCGAAACTTGATCATCCATGAGAGTAGTCAGAAGACACAGGCGTTGGTATTGTTCAACGAGCGCCTTCTTCTTGACGGACTTATGTATGTCAATCTTGGACTTTGCCAGCTGGGCCAGCTCCACCAATCCGATCCTGCGTGGAAGAAATGAAACACCAGGCCCTGGCAACATCAAACTGCCCCCATGCAAGCGTCCTCTTCGCCACAGAACCCCCCAGAGACTCCAATATCCCTTAGTTGAAGAATATTCCTTAGATCATATAAGGGATCCTGCCATAATTTACGGTATATTCCTAAATTAAGGGATATTGGAGTCTCTGGGCCCACATCTCACAGAGTGCCAGCGCGTCTACTGCCGCTGCTTGGCTTCTTGTGGAAAGCAGGCAAGGATCCTCACTCGAAGACCTCTACACCCTAAATTGTGGCCCTTTAGTACTTGGGAGTTTCCGAAAACTAGGGGGAACCTTATTCTGGGGTCCTTATAATAAGGATCCTACGATTTAGGGTACTATATTAAGGTCCCCCCATTTTCGGAAACTCCCACTGAGGGCTTGGGGTTCAGAGGCTTGGAGTTTAGGGCTTCCGAATGTAAGGTCTCGGGTTCAGGCACAGGTCAGCAGGTCCTGCACCGAAGGATTATTCTGCTCATCCCTCCCTTTGGAAAGAAGAATCAGGCCTTGAAGCTTACCTAAACCCCCAAAAGTAAGTAAAATCATGACCCAACACCTATAAAAGGCCATTATTCTACATACTTTTGGGGTCTAGGTACTTCTGACGTAACTCACATAAATGTGCAATCTTGCCGTAAGATCCACAACCCTAGGTCCTAAACCCTTCAGGCTAATTTCCAAATCCTAAACCCTGTACCCTACACCCCACACCGCAGCACCTAAACCCTAAACCCTAAACCCTAAACCCTAAACCCTACAGAAGAGAGAAGAAGAGCAAACCATCCCCCAGACCCCCGGAAGGATCCAACAAGTAGATCCCTTTATGGAGGGTTCCTATAAAGTACCCTTAGTAGTTTTGGGCCCCCAAATATTAAGGGATCTACTTTCTGGATCCTTACCCGGGGGTCTGGGCCTGAGTTGGTCTCGAAACTCTTCCAGTATAAGGCCCTCAAGAAGTAGAATGGGGCTTTCGGGGTTAGGGTAGGGAACCCGGTTTAGGGTTAAGGGGTTTAGGGTTTAGGGCTTAGGGGTTTAGGGTTTAGGGTTTAGGATTAATATTCCAACATTTTCTACCCATAGTACAGACTAGCCCTGGAAGGGAACCCTAACAGGAAAAATGGTTTCGAATCACCCACCTTGAACCCCAAACCCTAAACCCCGGGTTCTGTACAAAGCTGAGGGTTGGAAGGATGCGGAGTTGAGGTTCTTCAGATTCGGGTTCCTGCACTTGGGGGAGTTTAGGGCTTCGGAGTCTATGCTGTACGGCTTGGGGCTGCTGCTGCTACGATGCTGACTTCGAGTTCGGCTACGAACCAGACCACGACTACAACTCAGGTTTCAGGTTTAGGGCTTACAGGGATTATGCTTTAAGCTAGAAGGGGCCCCCACCCTGTAATAGTGACTACAACCACTATATAGGATTATATTAGGGCCCTATTATATTCCTATTATACCACTATTACAGGGGGCAGCTTCTAAGGTTTAAGCTTCAGGGTTTAAGGGAACCCTGTTGTATGGGCCTTAATGATGAGAATAGGGTGTTGGGAGCCCTCAGGAAAAATACTGGTACTGAGTTAGGCCTTTGCAATGACGACTTGAACCACTTGGAAGACCACTCCTTAAAGCACAACCGAAGCCTGGGCCCTCACCCCCGAATACCCAGAGACTCCAATATCCCTTAATTAAGGAATATTCCTTAAATCATATTAGGGATCCTACTGTAATTTAAGGTATACTCCTTAAATAAGGGATACTGGAGTCTCTGAATACACCTTAATCCCCCAAACTCTTGAATCCTGCCTTGATATAATCAATATCGAAGTACGCCTTCCAGGGACGCCCGCTGCTTTGGATTATGGGGGGGCTTGATCCCTAGCCAATTGGCAAGTCGGATAGTTTAAGGGGCCTTGTTGAAATTCACGATTAGTGAGTGCGTAAGCCATCCAGCCAGCCAACCAGCCACCGGGCCACTCAGCGAGAGCTAGTGATTTGGTTAAGTAGCTCGTCCGTTCGTTCGTACTTGGCCACCTACTTAGTTAAACTTGAGGCTTGGTTGAATCGCCTTTGGATTTCTAGTTGGCTGGACTACATGCAGCCTGGAGAAGTTGAATCTAGGTTTCAAGGCGTATCGAGATGTTCGATTACACTTTATTGTCTGAGATATCTAATCGACTCTATCGTTTTGTCCTGTTTAACCCTACTGACACTACTGTGGAGCATGTCATTATGCATTTCTCCTTCTACATATCTATTCTGCTTCATCTGTCTGCAAACTCACAAACATAGCCGTATGTGTGTAAATACAGACCGACAGAGTTGATGGTTACTAAAGTAACTATATACGAAAAACGAAGCAACTAGCATCTGACCAAACAGCTAACTGAGTCCGCCCGAACAAACGAACGAAAGCAAGGTTTAGCCACCTAACTATAGCTGACTGACCAACTAACTTGCCAACCTAATCTAACCTGACCTAACATAACCTACCTAGCGCAGTTTATCACCTTGCCAGTTGGGGGACCACACTGTGCGACAACAGAACACACATGCGCACTCGCTGAGGGTGAGGAGCACCCTTGTCTCCTCACGAATCCAAGCTTCGAATTCGCCGCCTAAGCTCCCCTACCTACAGGATCCGGCGGGGGGTGGGGACGGGGGGCCGGCTGAGTAGGCAACGAAGGTCAGAAGTCAGAAGAGTGGGCATTCAGTTGAGGCAGCAGCTACCAGGTAGCATAGCTCGGAACCCCCACATTTCCTTGCCAACTGTTCCTCAAAACATGGTGGACACCCTAAACCGAACCCCGGTTAGGGTTTTGGGGTTGAGGTTTTTGGGGGTATGCACCAAGCGGCATCAAACCTTAAACCATATCTCAGCAAGTCCTAGCTGCTGAGATCCCAAGTGCAGAACCTGTCAGCCTTGAACTGAAACACAGACACGAATTCAGTTCAAAGTATCGACATTTGGGAACCAATAACCCTAAACCCCTTATAGTACCCTTTATAGATCCCTTATAGTAGTCCTCTTAGGAAACCTTAAAGGAACCCCTAAATTCCTAGCACATCGGCGCCTTGGTCTTCAGATTCTCTTCCGCCGACGGGTTGCTCATGTAGATGGTGCAGCAGTCCTCCAGTTGATTCGATGATATAAATCCTGCACTGCCTTGGTTTATGTAGGGGTGTAGGGTTTAGGGTTTAGGGGTTTAGGGTTCACGGGTTTAGGGGTTTAGGGGTTTAGGGTTTAGGGTTCAGGGGTTTAGGGGTTTAGGGGTATAGGGTTTAGGGCTTAGGGAATGGAAGAATGGTAGTAATAGTAGTCATAATTGTACCCCATTCCTCCATTCCCTAGTAACCAAAGGCAAGCAGACAGACCGACCGACGGAGAGTCCACAGAAACGGACATTGTGACGCAGGCCTGCTTCGACACTCTTCGGTGGCTCAGCACCCAGGTTCGCTCGAGACTTCTGAGCAAGCCAGTGCGACTCAAACGGGGATGTAGAGAAACTCGGAATTACTGAACCCTCAACCTTAAATGCAAAACTCCTAAATCCCAAAACCCGGTAGGGTCAAGTTCACAGAGCCTCCACTACTTTAGGTTTACGGTCCAGGGTCTGGGGTTTGCGGGTTAGGGTCTGGGGCTTGAGATTGAGTTTTAGGGATCTATAGGCTTTAGGGCTTGGGGAGGGTCAGGGTCCACAGGTCAGGTGAAAGGTCACTCTAGCCTGAGATCCCAGAGACTCCAAGACCCCTTAATTAAGGAATATTCCGGAAATTATAGAAAGGATCCCTGATATGATTTTAGGACTAATCCTTAATTAAGGGGTATTGGAGTCTCTGAGATGAAGCGCCAAACAAGTAACAAGAAGGAGACATCCGAGTCTGACGCGTACTCAACCATAAAAACCCCGGGCCTTAACTGGGTATACTCAAACATTGCCAACCAACGCTCCTGAAAAATGTTTACCCTTAGGCTCTAAGGACTCGTATTTTAAGGCTGTTGGGCCCAAAGACCATACCATATAAGGCTTTTGGGATATTTTGAGCCTTAGGGTTAAATAACACCCCGGTCCGTTGCGGGCTCGGTGACGTGGGCTGGGATGCAGTAGTTGGGCACGAAGCCTTCAAAAAAGGGCAGCAGTGCCGAAACCCTTTAATTGGGATTAGGGTTTAGGTTTTAGGGTGTAGGGTTTAGGGATTAGGGTTTACGGGCCCATTCTACTACAACTAGAATAATGAACCCACCGAATAATAGTCCCTATATTAAGGGCCTTCGCAATTGGAACGGCTTTATAAGGTTTCTTACACCATAACTACGGACTGTAAGGGGATGCTGCCACCGATGATGTCGACCAAGGAAATGGCCATATCCCAGGGTTGGAACCATGGTTTACGTTTGAGGGTTTCGGGAATATGGTTCTCGGGGGGGGGTGTTTTAGATCTTGCTGTTCCAAGTTGCTGAGTCCTCGCAAGGTTAAGTCAGCACTACACAACCGTGCAGCAACTCAAGGGCTACTCCCTCGGACCACAAGCTCAACCGTGAGACCAAAGGGGCCATGTTTGCTATGTGGGTAGTTGTCAAAATTATGGCCCCCTTTTTGGGTACCTTAAGTATTAGGTGACGTATTATAATATAGGGACCCAAAAAAGGGACCATAATTTTGACAGCCACCCATGTAGTTCTGTCTTATTGCTTCTCTCCAAGCCTGGATTGTGTCTACAACGAGAATATCCAGTGACCTTGCTGAACTAAAGGAAGGTCTGAGCCAGGGATGGCTGACCCGCCCTGAAGCCTAAAACCTTCTCGGGAACCTGGGCGGCGAATTAATGAGTAGTTAGTGCTATTCCTTCAGCGTTCCTCGTGACCACCACAGTCAGTATCAAATCCCCAAAAAACCCTGTTTCCTATGGATCCAAGTACTCCTTGTTAGAGGACTTTGGGGCTTTTTTGGCTACCCCAAAACCATAAAGCAACGACTACTTGGACCTTTCATTATAGGGTGCTCAAGTTGGTAAGACCCCAGCACTCCTCCATAACTTCATCCGGCATTCGCCTTCATGCTGCTTACGCTCATTACACCGTAGACCCTGTTTGCAAACCTACACGGGAAGCCCGCAAGACCAAACAAACGAACTCCAAACCAAGGGCGTTTTGTTGCAAGTTTGGGGGCATCATTTTGCAATCCTTCGGGTATATCAAGCCTCTAGCCAGGCCCTACATGCCAAACCCGACCACGCACTACAGGCCCAAGCCTCAAGATCTAAGGGTTTCCACCTAAGCTTCAGGTCAATCTTAAGCTTATTGGGGTTAAGTAAATCGCATCAATACAGGGGGCATTATACCACATATTTAATAAGGCGCCCCCGAAATGGTATAGGAATTTGTTAAGGCCCCTACATTAGGGTCCTGGGTTTGGAACCCTAAACCCTAAACCCTTAACCCTCAGGTTGGCTGAAGAACTCTCACGGGAACGGGTTTGAAGGCCGGCCTGTCTTCTTGCATTCCTCACAATCCCACCACCTGGCTTGCGGTGTATTGGAGATTTGCGTTTAGAGCTGAGGGGGTTTAGGGTTTAGAGTTTGGTTTAGCGTTTAGGGATCAGGGTTGAGGGTTTAGGAGGCTGAGTCTAGTGTGTATCAGTCTTTGGAAGTCAGCGCTTGGGGGTTGCAACGGTAGCAGCATCTGTTTACTTATATATCATCAGTATATATTAGATATGGGCATAATATGAATTTAACTGATGAATTAAATCAAAATTTGATAGATTTGGTAAATGCCCTGTGAGCATGTCGAAAGTCTAAATGTCTTGCCCATAATGTAGCCGCCTTGATAATTGGAATAGGGGTTTGGGGGCCATCATACTATAAACATAAGGAACCACCAGAATAGTATAGGTAATTAGCAAGGCCCCTGTTTTATCCGTGGAGAAGTCACATCCAAACCACACCGTTCAAGACTTCGCAGGACGGCGAGGCAGGGGTAAGATCGGCAAGTTTCCGTAATCACAATTAGGTTGAATTATGGAACCATGACAACTTCTGCCTCGAACCTCCGATAGCTTAGCTTTCAAGTTGAAGGTTGGAAGCTGCACCCTTAACCTTGAACCTCAACTTACTAAACCCTAAACCCTAAACCTGACCTCTGGAACATGCCCGGATCGTCAACCCTACATTCATATCCTCAGCCATGAACCAAAAACTCTAAAAGTCCTGAACCCTGAACCATAACTCTGAGCACAAACACCTAAACCTGGACCAGGATCACAAAGGTGGTTCACAGCAGGAGGCTTCGACTCCCTAATCCTTCCAGTTTAGGGTTCGGGGTTTAATTAGGGTTCAGCAGAATCGGAATCCTGAATCCGGAAACCCTAAACACATTCTGAATCCTAGACACCAAGCCAAGCCAGTTAACCAGGACCAAACGTTGACTGAGCTCCTCACGCATTTCCGGCCCAGTCTCCACACAAGGCAATGTTCCTCGGCTCAGGAACACCCAGACACTGAACCCTAAACCCTAACAACCCCAGTGCAAAACACAACGTCAAGACGCTCTGTGGGCTCAAGGTTTTTGGCTCTTGAGTTTAGCTACGCAGTCGTTGCCGCTAGAGAACAACCTCTGGATTCACAAAACCAAGATCTTGAACAAAAACATTGAATCATAACAAACTTTCAGTGCCTGGGCCCTACACTGGCCGAGAAGGAATTCCACTAAGCCCAAAACCGTAACCAAGGCCTAAACCTATAAACCAAAACCCTTTCGAAGCCAAATGCTTAATGCCTAGTGACTAAATCTTAAACTCAGTCCAAATCTCGAAAGGAATACTTATTTAGCTCCAAGTCCTTGAAGGAAAATGTTTACAAACTGAAAGCCCTTAGATTATAGGCACAGAAGTCGATGTCCAAGATTCAAGACGATCTCCTGTGGCCGCGCCACATTGACCTCAATCGCTTTCGGCATGATTCAAAGTGGTTAAGGGTTTCGGGGCCAGTAAGATTCGGGGCTGATAGAGCTTCGGGGAGTTTAGAGCTATGGGCTCGACGGTCTTAGGGCAATGGGCTTTCTGGAAAGCTCCATTGACCTACCAAGCAAGACTTCCACAACCAACACCCCCCTCAACCCTAAGCCACGCCCAAAGGGTCCAGTCATAGTATTGTATATATTAGAAGGGGCCCCCACCCTAGTAGTATAATAGGAATATCATAGGGCCCTAATTTCGTCCTTTTCATCACTTTTTGCAGGGCGGGGGCAGCTTCTAATGGATATACTTTGGGGACCCGACTATCTCCTAAGTACCTTCTACGTTTTTGGTGCTTGGACCTTTTGGGACAGGAGTTCCTCCGTACCCTAAAGAAACCCTCCCTACCCTGAGCCCTAAACCCTAAACCCTAAGCCAAGGAATACGGTTGATGATATCAATCCTGCATTACCCATAATAAGGAATATATGGGAATGATGGTATATTCCTTATTATGGGTCATGCAGGATTTATATCATCAAAGTTATGCCAGGAGCCCGGCACAGCCCGAGGGATCGAAGGGCATGTAGGCGAATCGCCATCGACCGGGCCACGAGTTCCTGTTGAGATCTGGGAGTTCCCGAAAATTAGGGCGTACCTTGAATTCCTTTAAGGGTTCCTCTAAGGGATCTATGAGGGTTCTATGCAGGTTTAGGGTTTAGGGATTGTGGTTTCCGAAAATCAGGGGTACCTCCATAAGGGTTCTTTAAAGGGATCTATAAAGGGTTTAGGAATGGGAGTTTCCCAGAATTAGGGGTCCCTTATTTTGGGGTCCTTATGATTATAAGGATCCTAGTATTCAGGGTACTATATTAGGGTCCCCCATGTTCGGAAACTCCTCTGGGGAGCGGACGTGGGGGTGCTCTAGACTCATGCTGTACACTCAACAGGCAGGGGGCTTAGTAGGTAGGGCTACTTTACTTGTACCTCCAACCTAAGGCATGTTTAGCATCTTATCACATACTCAGTTGGCTCTCTAAAGCCTTTGAAAAATATTCGTAAATAGGGTCCTATTAAGCCAAATTTCGGAAAATCAAAAAAGGCCCAAAGGCCTACCTAGCATATAAGCATGCTAAGTAAGTCCACTGATCCTTGAAGTTGCCGGCCTCCAGATGTACAGTATGGAGCGGAATCGAAATCAATCGAATTGGGGGTCTGAGGCCTTACGGGTACCTTATTTGGGGGTCCTTATAATAAAGATCCTACTATTTAAGGTACTCTATTAATTAGGATGAACTTGAGTTGCTACATTCCCCTCGCAGGGGTGCTTCCCAGAGACCCCAATATCCCTTAATTAAGGAATATGCCTTAAATTATAGTAGGATCCTTGATATGATTTAAGGAATATTCCTTACATAAGGAACATTGGAGTCTCTGGGTTGTTCTCCCAGACCTCAACTGGGAGTAGCGTCCTCACAGCCTTACAGCCTCCAAGGGAACTGCAGCTGACTTCTTGGACCTTCCCGCAGCCCACGGAAGCCCTAGCCCTACTTCCTGAACCATAACCTACAAGGGTCTAAGGGTTTAGGGGTTTAGGGTTTAGGGGTTTAGGGTTTAGGGTTTAGGGTTTTAGGGTTTAGGGTTTAGGGTTTAGGGGTTTAGGGTTTAGGGTTTAGGGTAGTCCTGTCCTTATTTATGGTTGTTGGTACCCAAAAAGGCCCCAAGGTCTTATAATAAGGGGTACTTGGACCCTGAAGGCAAGAGCCAACGCCAGTAAAAAGTCCCTGGCTCAGTTGCGATGTAATTAGCGCTCCTTGTGGCTCTGAAAGTCTTACGAACTCGACCTTCAAGGTATAATTAGGAACCCTAAACACTAAACCCATGAACCCTAAGCCTAAACCTATAACCCCGAACCGCTAAACCCTAAACCCCAAACTCCTATAGAGTGTCCTCCAAAAGAGAATAGCATACAGAGAATCAGAGAATCCCACCTGACCAACTTCTTATAGATCCCTTACAAGACCTAGTACGAACCCTAAGCCCTACCTGGACCCTAAATAGCCTACCTTCTTGAGGACTTATATAAAGAAGAAATCATAAGAGGGTACCCTAAAAGGGTTGGCTCTTTAGGGTCCAGGCAAACCCTAAATCTAAACCCCAAAACCCTAAACCCTGAACCCTAAAACCCCAAACCCTACACCCTAAAACCCTAAACCCTAAGCCCTAACACCCTAAGCCCATCAGCTCACATCTTTCCGCCAGAGGACGGCTCGGGCTTGTCGTTCTTCAGGTCCTCCGGTATTTCGGCCTCCAGAGGTTGACTGCGGTTTGTTGTGACCGGTTTAGGCTTTAGAGGGGTTTAGGAGGGTTTAAGGTTCTGGGGTTCAGGCTTTACGGGGGGTTTAGGGGGGGCTACGGGGGCTTTGCCTACGCCCTCAAAGTATGTAGAATAATTAGCCCTTGATTGGTGTTGGGCCATTATTTCATCTACTTTTGGGGGTTTAGGTAAGCCCTCAACCCTGAACCCCTCATCCATAAACCCTAGCCCCTAAACCCCTAAACTCTAAACCCTAACGGGTGGTGCTCAAGCTCTTTGAAGTCCAATGCCTGCTTCGATGGTTTGTTGCGGGGGTAGTATGGTGCACTTAGGGTATAGTGTTTGGGGAATTTCGGGGGTGCACCATGAAAGAGGGTTTAATACAGGCTGATACAGGGGCCTTAATAATTGGATTAGGGTTCTTATGTGCGTTTACTGATGTGGGACTAGTAGGCGATACTATAATTACCTCCCAAACCCTAAACCCTAGAACCTATTCCCGTAATAGTAATGATTCCGACACTCAAAGCATGGCGCCTGCGGGATGTGGTACACGATGATGCCACTGGCATCCCACAGCACAGCAAGCACGCCCGGATTCTTGCTGTACCTTAGAGCACAACCCAAAACCCCGAAGCTGAAAGCCTGAACCCTAAACACAGAATCCTAGATCCAACTCTAACTGTTGGCTAAGGATCTTAGGAGAATTTGGAGTCGAGAGTCCATAGGTTTTAGGGCTTGGGCTGGAGGGCTGAGTTGGTTTAGGGTCACAACATGTTCTTATCGGGCTGAACCTGAACTGTTGACCAATGCCTTCTCTGTTCTGCTTTCCACAAACAACCCAGCCCCTCACGTCGTGGGTAGATCACTCAGAGCTTTGCATTCAGAGCTTTGTGGGGGTTAGTGCTTTTTGACAAGATTGCCCTGCTGCTGCGCGCTAGTGGCTGTGATAGGAACACACCCAGACCTTGCCTTTGGATAGCCTAAGCTACTTGTCTGGTATCATGGGGAACTAAAGATTAACCCTTCTGGTTATGTGGGGATTATATGAGGACTGTACTACCCAAAAAAGGTTAAAGGTTACCTACTCTACTACTAGGCTAATGAGTCTCTGCTTCGGGCCCTTGAGAGCCCAGACCATCTACAATCCCTTCAGTAAGGAATATACCATCAGTATAAATCATAGTCGGGCCAATAATCCGATAGAAAGTCTATTTCTTTAAGGAGCAACCTGCGAGGGTCTAGGTCCAAAGCTGCAAAGCATCGTCCATTCAAATTCTGCGGATTCTCATCAACCCTCTCCTAGGATGCCCAGTAACCTGCGAATGAAAGGGCTCCCTTTTTGGTATTGAGTAACTGTATAAGGAACCTAGAACTACAAAAAGGGAATAAAGGTGCTGTTGGGCATCCTAGTCTCAAGGTGAACAATCAAACACTTGTAGTCCATGTTGAGGTATGCATGCACTTAGTCTTCACGAGATTTTACCTGAGTGCTTCTAAACTTCTAAACTGTGGGCAGGTGTGGGGTGCTGCAATGTCTTTGAGCCCAACTTTACAAAGCCAAATTGCGAATTGAAGAGACAAGTATTCTTTTCCGGCGAAAGGAAACTCTATATTGGCTTTGAAGGGATTCCTGTTGCAGAACCCTCAAGTACCCGGTTCTACAGTGATTCTACAGGGTTCCTGAGACCACACCATTACTGTCAGCCACGGCTATACTCAGTGAATTTCAGGATTCCTCTATTTCGAGGAAGTTAGTATAGTAGCCTGTGGATCGTGCTACAAGTGTCACAGGCGTTGGGAGTTGATCCTTCAGGACAGCATTTGTCCACGCACGCTGTGATCTCATCGGCTCGACCCGCTTTCAATGGCATGAGACGGGTCAATGCAAAGATGTGTCCATGTTATACAGGATACAGGGTGTAGGGCTCGTTTGTTATTAGATCTGTAGGATTTCATGTACGCCTGAGTGTGTACCTCAAACTCTTACTCGCGCTTCCACGAAGCTAGGCCCAAAGGGGCCGAGCAATGGTTCAGACAACCTGAGATGAGAAGGTGCATTATCAGCGCAGCTCCCGCAAGGACGCCATTCAGCATCCCAGGGCTTTCTTGGAAATCGGGCTAAACATGCAAAGTGTCTCGCGTCTCCTGTGGGGCAAAGGTGAAGCTTTAAATCAAAGAGAACCCAACATGAAGAGCTTTTTAGGGCTCAGCATCCTAGCTGGGTCTAAGGGTCACTTTGTAGTTCCTCGCTTTTCTCGCTTTTGGGGTACAGAACCCAAATTGGCTGCAGCCCATTGGCTTGCACTAATTAAAACTTTGTAGTTCCAGATACATCCTTCAGCAGTGGGCCAGGGTCTTTCAGTCATCACTCTATCAATAGAGAAAATTAAGATCAGGGCTGGTTGAGTGATAACACAACTGCTATGCACACATCCACCCCCAAGTCGGGTAGTTTCCTGCTGAGTGCACCGAATTGAATCCCTTTCTGCCTTTTCCTCCCTGGTCTGAAGGATTTGGGGACGATGGCAGTACTACGGTTGATGATATAAACCCTGCATTACTGCATTACTTTAAGGACTCCAAACTATGGGAAAAATGACATATTCCTATTTATGAGTAATGCAGGATTTATATCTATCGAACCCTAAACTCTAAACCCTAAAGTCAACCCCTAAACATGTGGACCCAGTGATCCTGAACCGAAAGCCGCTTTGGGGTGCTTTGGAGCTGCGAAGACGCGTGCGAAGGCACGATTATTGCCTTCGCTCTGAACGACAAGCCCGAGCCCGAGAGTCCACAAGCCCCTCATGCAGGGGCCTTACTACTTAGAGTGAATTTTTGGTGTATATTCTACCAAAAAAATCGGGACTGTAAGGTCATACTCTCGAGAATTATTCGACGACCACTCGAACTACTGGAGGTGAGACCTCAGGCGTCTTGCTCTGCGGGTGCTGGAGCATCTGCTGCAGGAGCTGCCTAGCCAGATCACAGAACTCACAATTGGCTTAAGGTTTACAGTAAACCCCATAAGGTTATGGGTTTACTTAGGGTTTAGTAGGGTTTAGAGTTTAGGGTTTTAGGGTTTAGGGTTTAAGGGTTTACGGGTTATTTGGGGACCTCCATAAAGTTGGAAACCGAATAAAGGCCAAACAGTGCTGGGATTCCTATATATAAATTGCTCTTAAGCATCGAGGCTATTGGGTTTCCAACTTTTGGGCTTCTACTGTAGGGTGTAGGGTTGAGAGCTAGGGGCCTAAACCTTCAACCTTTCACCAGTTCTCCAAGGGAAAAAGGAGGGACCCTTAATAAGGACCCCTAGGTATATACCCTTAATATAGCTATTATGTACCCATTATATCGCCCATTATAGGGTAGGGGTCCCCATTAAGGGTCCCTCCTTTACCCTTGGAAGTTCAGAAACCCTAAGCCCTACACCCTAAAACGATGGTTTAGGGTTCAGGATGCAACTTGCGGTTTGGATCCCAGGATATATGTCTTGGGGCTTGCAGAGGTTGCTCGAAACGGTGATGGTGATGATGCCGATGATGACGATGATGTCGGTGATGGTGAACACATTACTTGGTGTTCATACGGTTGATGATATAAGCCCTGCATCACCCATAATAAGAAATTCCCATATTTTAGGGTTTTTAGGGTAAGGCAGGATTTGGGAGTTTCCGAAAATTAGGGGTACCTTGTTTTGGGTTCCCTACAATAAGGATCCTACTACGTAGGGTGCTATATTAGGGCCCCCTATAATCGGAAACTACCATTTGAGTAGCTGTCAAAAATATAGTCCCTAATTGGGTACCCTAAACATTAGGTGCCGTATTATATCAAGGACCCCAAAAAAGGACCTAAATTTTGACAGCCACCCATTTATATCATCAACAAAAGGACTCTTGAGAGGCCACGTCTCTTTCACTCTTTGGCTCTGAGGGATCGCCCAGAGACGAAGTCAACAACTCAGTATGGAAGCCTTAAACCCTAAACCCCAAATCCTAAACCCTGAAACCCCTGAACCCTTCAACCCTTAAACCGTAAACCCTAAACCCCAAACCCTAAATCCTGAACTCTATGCTAAGCCGCAAATCGATGGAAGCCGCAAAAAGACGCCCTTGCGGGGTGAGCCTTTGCTTTCGCTTTCACCTTGGCCTTTGGAACGGCAGTGGCCTTTGCTAGGTTCAGGGCTTAGAGCTTGGGGAGACCACCATGATTATACCGGTTTAGGGTTCAGGGCTTGGGATGTCAGGGTCTGGCTGGAGTTCTCCACAGTGTGGATGCCGAGAATGAGTTCTGGCTCGCGTGCTGCGCTGGGCTTCCAGATGTTCTATTCTCGGGTTGTGTCTTTTCTCGAAGATGAAGATCAAGGGAACAATGGAATTTTTCTAGTTATAGTTGTGGTGTTTCTGATGATGGCACTCACACTGACCGTGCGACGACGGTGATGGGCAGCGAGGGTGCGAGAGTTCTGCAATGCTACAATTGATAAGCAGCGGTGCCCGCATAAGCAAGCTAGGTACCAGGATTGTCTTTCTGCTAGTGTGAGACACATGTTAGCCATTGCTATTGTTGCTCATTGTGGCTATCGCTTTCTCTTACGGCACATGCAGCTACTGCGCGAGTTATGACTGTTTCGGGTAGTGGATGATGTTGACGTCATGGTGGTGGCGGCATGACCAGTATCCGGTTCCCAAAGGGTCCAAGTACCAATATAGTAGGCTCTTAGTGGCCATGTGGGCCCCCCAAAGTATATACTGTACTGCTACTTGGATCCCTTCGGGTTGAGGTTGTATAGCTTACTGTTGAAGCGCCTTGAACCCTGCTACTGGGGTCGGTATGATGAGTGCAGTATACAATGATGTTCCCTTGCAGGCCTTGTATGCATACTATCACCTACCCCAACTGCCAAAACCTGGTGTAAAGATTGGGATGATTGAGGCTCCATATTCCTTATATATCCTGTTCTGATCGTTAAGACGCATCTGTTTAACACTGAAACTACGCCCTAACAATTTCCATCGTAGGAGATCCAAAGGTCTATGGATCCAAACCTCAATAGTTTAAAGTTTAGGGAGTAAGAGCGCAGGACCAGTGAACTTAGGATTCCAAAACCTTGGACTTGAGGTATGCAGAGATTCGCGTATTCGTTCAGTATTCGTTCAGGGAAGCCGAAGCACAGAGTTTCGGACGCTACGTTAACAGACTCCTGCTTGCAGCAAAGAAGCTTCAGGAGGGGGTGCATCCTCCTCCTTCTTGCCGCCCCTGGCTCTCGACTTTGGGGCTGAAAATAAAACTGCAAGCCCCACCTACCGTACCCCTCTGCTATTTTGCCGCCCTGCTACCCTACCCTGCCCTATGCTGCGCCGCCTTACCCCTACCCTGTTCTGGCCTACACCGAACTACAGTTGCCAACTTAAAGCCTCAGCCCTAAACTCCAAGACGTGACCATCCTTTCGTTGCCCGAGGTACCCAGAATCTGGTCCGCACAACCTTTAGGGCTTCAGGGTTGAAACAGCTTTAGAGACACCAGAAGCGACGCGTGCTTTGGGAATTCGATACAACCTCTACGCCACGAAGCAGAATGAACCCTAAACACTGACTTCA